GAAACATCTCATAAGCATAGCTGTCTAAATACTGGTTTTTATGTAAAATTTGAGTAAACCGAGGAGGACAGGAAGACTACATGGTCTTTAAAAGGACAATTTTTTTTCCTGTGAATTGCCTGTAGAACATGAGACACCTGCATGACCAACATTCCATAAGAGCCCCTTAAATGTGCAGATTGGGTAACAGTAAATTGATCTTCTTTCTATGCCACCAACCTCTTGTCATTTATCTTTTAGGCTATGTCTAGACTGCAAGCCTCTTTCGAAAGAGGCTTTTTCGAAAGATACTTTCGAAAAAGCTCCTTTCAAAAAAGAGCATCTAGACTGCACTCCCTTCTTTCGAAAAAGTGAGCCGCTTTTTCGGAAGAGAGCACCCAGGCAGTCTGGATGCTCTCTCCTTCGAAAAAGCCCTGTTGGCATTCAAGAACGCCTTTTTTCAAAAGAGCACTTTCGAAAAAAGGCATTCTTCCTCGTGAAATGAGGAGTAGCACTGTCGAAAGAAAAGCCGCGTTCTTTTGATTTAATTTCGAAAGAACGTGGCTGTAGACTAGATGCAGGTGAAGTTTTTTTTCGAAAAAAAGGCTACTTTTTTTGAAAAAACCCTGCAGTCTAGACACAGCCTTAGAGAAAATTACCAGGAAACACGTCTTCATTGCTGGAGCACTGCTGCTGGCCTCTTGAGTTATGTCTACACTGCAATTAAAAACCTACAACTGGCCATCGTCTGCTGACTCAAACTTGCCGACACAGAGGGAGAGTTCCAGTCTTAGCCTGAATGTCTACACCACAATTAAACAGCCTCCTAGACAGAGTCAGTTGTCATGTCCAACCACAGGTGCCTATTTGCAGTGTAAACCTTCTTTTGGAGGCCTGCACGCTCCAGCCTATTAGACAGTGGAATCTGGCTTGCTGCAAAATAGATTTGAGATGAAAAACACATTAGGCATCCACCCATTGATTTAAGTTCATTGTTGGCATTCAACTACACAATGCTTTGTTTTGGAGGAGTGCTTGCTGGTGAGGGAAAGAATAGTAACATAAATCAGACAGCTGTTTGTGGAGCCTCCTGGACAGTAAGAACACACAATATTACCTTTACTGCCAATGCTTCACTGGAAATGTAATTGCTGCCTCTTTTAGAGGATTTGTTTAACTACACAAAGAGGGCCTTATGCAGCTTGTGAAGAAATATATTGGGGGAAATTAAATCTCCGGCGCTATCTGTGGTGTGGGCTGTTGTTTTTAAAATTTATTGACTCTTTCCAGTTGCTCTATTTCCCCACTAGAGCACCAGCATTGTCTATAAGAAGAATCCTAATATGTCCATTATGAGTTGTTTGTCTATTACAACTTGAGAAAGAAATGTATAAACTCGAATGTATTTATTTGTACAATAGGCTCTTGTCGTCCTATTGTGGACACAAGTGGAGTTGTCTTGCAAGGGTGTAGCAAGCAGCGGAATGGAGATCAGAATTTGGCCAGCAGATGTCAAGCTTCATTCTTGAATGTCAATAGCAATCAAATTGTCATTTGTATCATAGGCTTCCCTCCTTCACTATTCATTGTGTAACAACAATACATTTCTTGCTGCTGTCTCTGAAGTCAATGGCGCTAACTCAGGGATAATTTTTGGTCTTGGGGCAAATAAGGGAGTAGGAATGCCATTTTAAATATCTCTGAATAAAAGCCCGCTCCTTATCAAGTACCACCATTCAATGTGTCAGGGTATGTCTACACTACCCCGCTAGTTCGAACTAGCGGGGTAGTGTAGACATACCCTGACACATTGAATGGTGGTACTTGATAAGGAGCGGGCTTTTATTCAGAGATATTTAAAATGGCATTCCTACTCCCTTATTTGCCCCAAGACCAAAAATTATCCCTGAGTTAGCGCCATTGACTTCAGAGACAGCAGCAAGAAATGTATTGTTGTTACACAATGAATAGTGAAGGAGGGAAGCCTATGATACAAATGACAATTTGATTGCTATTGACATTCAAGAATGAAGCTTGACATCTGCTGGCCAAATTCTGATCTCCATTCCGCTGCTTGCTACACCCTTGCAAGACAACTCCACTTGCAAGCCAACACCTCTGTTGCTATGGAAGCTGTGAATGAGGGTACTGATGTAACTAAGACCGTCATTATTATTACGACTAAGACATGCCATTATTATTGCTAACTATTTATATTTCTGGAATGTCTAGGACCCTGGTTTAGTTAAACAGAGAAATGAAATTTAAGCGCGTAGTTTCGTACTTTGCTGAGATGATGACTCTGCTGAATCAGAGCCTAGAATGGAATGGGTCTAATTTTCTCAAATGTTGCCATTGATTTCCATGGGACTACTGATCTTGAGAGAGGGTGGCATAATTGGGTTTTATAAAGACAATCCTAAAAAAAAAATATTAGATCATAGAGTCCATTCCCCTGGCAGTGTAAGACTCGTCCATTCAGTGAATGTTTTATTCAGTCTAGTTTTAAATTACTCAAACTATAGTACTGCTACCTCTTTAGGGTCCGTATAAAAATGTTAGTTTAGCTCAATAAAATACATGCAGTAGGACATGAAAAAACCATTATAAAAATGTGCATTCTTACTACCCATGTATGGCTCCTTATCAGTATGTTATGCTTCAGTTTAATGACCCTGATAAGCAAGCTATAAAACCCAGATTGATTTTGATTAATGTATACTATTGTTGGCTGTTTGCTCAGAGGTTTTATTTTGTTTAAATATTTTTTTTTCCAGACCGAACACTTTTTTAATTAGATGAAATATTTCTATACAATGTCTATTTTGGTTGCTGGTAAAAGTATCCTTTTATTGGGCAAACATTCTTATGCCAAGGTTTCTCACGTAATTTCTCAGTACAGTGTTTGTGGACCTGTTTCATCTATCATAATGATTCACTTTTGTAACCCAATTTAGTTATTGTCTAGATTCTTGTTGAAAAGCAACAACAAAAAACCAAGATACAAAATGAAGCATGTTGATGATATAGGGTAAGACCTAAATTGAGAATACTCATTTTAGTAGGATACATCCATAAATTATTTTGCACTTTCATTTTTATAATGAGCACCAGCGAGCATTGGTCAAAGTCCATGGGTTCTAATTGATGATGTCATGAGAACTGTTGCTTTGTATTTTTCTCCGTGTATTACATTACACTTTTGTAAGGTTAGAGAGAAAACAAGTACGAGGTTTTTCTGTGCTGAGTTCATTTTATGCTCAACTTAATTATTCTCTAACACTCATTATTAACTATGATTATATTTCACATTTTAGAGTGAATTGCCTTTCATAATTAGGAATAGTCTATGAAAATATTTGCAAATGACAGAGATGAATAGACCAATATTCTTCCACGTTATCACTGGAGTTTGTTTATTTTTTTCCGGAGTTTCTAAGATTTAAAAAAAACCTTGATATGTCAATTTTGCTAAAATTTGTACCTACTTTTATTTGCAACTGATTAAATGTCTTGATGTAGAGATTAAGAAGATGATAACAAGTTGACTGTGTGGGAAGACAAAGTTAATCTTAGGAAATTAATAATCAGTTGATTTTAGGATGTCTGTGGTCTGGTTATTGACTCTCATGATTAATGCCTGAAACCTGATGTATTGCATTTAGAGCCCACTGAATTTAGCTCTCCTGTGGGTAAAAGATAATTGCACAGGGTGAAATTCAGCATAGAAGATCTTTTGTAGTTTTTCATGGGGCCTTGTATGGTGAATTTCTCCCCCAGTATATATATAATAAAAAGCTTGGTCCTGCTCCCATTGAACACTCAATAGGGTCCTTGCGTAAACTTTAAGTCCACAGCAAAATCTGAGTTCAATTCTTGGAGATTTGCAAACCAGGAGAACCCCTGAGTAACAATGATCATGACAAAAATGGCAGCTTAGAAAGAGGATTTGCAATATACCATGTAAGATTTTTGGTACTGGTGGTAGCGACAACCTAGTGCTTCATTAGAGTGGTACAATGCTGTATAGGGTGGGGAAATTATTTCCTGACTCCTCAAGAATAGCACAAACACTAGAGCCAGGCATTATCATGGTAATGCAGCTGAAAATGAAGGAAGCACTTGTAGGGGTTATTTGCAACTGGAACACCACACAACTTCTGAGAGACACTTGGAAGGAAAACATACGCTCGCTCCTCCATCTTTCTCTCCAAGCTGTAATTATGACCCTTGCATGTCCATTTCTTCTATTTGTGCTCAGTATCCACTAGGACAGACCAAACAGGAACACGGGAAAGCAAAAGGCATAGGAATAGTATGAATGATTATTGCTGTCTTATCAAGTGTCCCACCAGATGAAACTGAATCACACCTTCTGTCTCGCAGTTGCCTCTTGTGATATTTGCATCTAAGAGTGGGTCTGCACAGAAACTTTGTGCACTGGTTAGTCTAGTTTGAACCAGCTCGTGTGGATAAGGATAGCAGAGAAAACAGCATAGCTCAGGTTTTGGTATGGATAGTACAAGCTTTGCATGAACTCTCAGTACATACATGGCTTGCTAGCTTGTGCTCTGCTGTCTTCACTGCTGCCATTACGTACATTCGGCCAGTTTAAGGCTAGTCCATGCACAGAACATAAGAATGACCATACTGGGTCAGGCCAAAGATCCATCTAGCCCAGTATCCTGTCTGCTGACAGTGGCCAATACCAGAGTGAACACAACAAGTAATCCTCATGTGATCCCTTTCTTGTCATCTATTTCCTGACAAACAGAAGCTAGGGACACCATTCCTATTCATCTTAGCTAATAGCCATTGATGGACCTAACCTACATGGATTTATCTAGCTCCTTTTGAACCCTGTTAATGTCCTACTCCTCACAACACCCTCTGGCAAGTTTTTGCTTCATAGACATAGCCTTACTGTATTGTGTCTGGCGCCCAGCTTCTTCTTAACTCAACCACTTTTAGGGCAATGCACTTACCATGGTTCTGTCCTCTTTCCCCTTCCTCTCATCCAGACGGAATACCATACGTTTGGTGGGTTGGCCGCGCCAATGAAAAACACCCTTACTGGGGGGGATCACTTCCTGGAGTTCAGAAGTGTGCATGTGGACTGGAAGAAAGCTGCCTGGATATGAGCTATTTCTGCAACTGTGATGCCGATAAAGAAGAATGGTAATTATACCAAGTCATTTGATATACTGTTCGTGTGGAGAGACGGAGGGTGGGGTACTCAAGGATGACAGGAACTGAAGCCTTTGCTCTTTTATACCTGATATAACCTGATTTGCTTCCATGTAATTAATTGTGAGATGTGTCCGCGTAAAATGTTGTCTTCTTTGAAGCACAAATTTTCATTCAAGCACATACCAGGCACATACCAGATGCAGTCTTCCAGTGGGAATAGCACATGGGGCAAAATTCTGCCATTAGTTACCACTGGGCAGATCTGAATTCTTGAAGGCTTTATTCAGGCAATCGTCTAACAGAATGCAATGAAAACCGTGACCAAGTCAAAATGTCATGATTTTAGTCCACAGACCCATAGCAGTTCTAAATTCTGAGTGCCAGTGAGGGGAGATTTTGGGCCTTAAACAATAATTATTAGCTCTAGGCAGGAGCAGAGGAAATATATCCTGTCAGACAAGTTTAATCATTTATATTTCTATGTATGCCTGGATTAGTCGATCCAAATGAAGATGGCAGAAAGACTCTTTTTGACTTCAGTGCACTTTGGATTAGATTTTATAGAAGGTTTTATTACCTATAAAGTATGTATTCAAAACCCTACGTAAACCTGTGTCTTTAATTTACTAACTCTGTTCATTGATGCTGAAAAAAAGTGACTATAAACTATTTATATTTCTATGTATGCCTGGATTAGTCGATCCAAATGAAGATGGCAGAAAGACTCTTTTTGACTTCAGTGCACTTTGGATTAGATTTTATAGAAGGTTTTATTACCTATAAAGTATGTATTCAAAACCCTACGTAAACCTGTGTCTTTAATTTACTAACTCTGTTCATTGATGCTGAAAAAAAGTGACTATAAACT